CCGGCGACTGCGTAAGCTGCAGCCCCTGCTGCAGTGGGTTGCCATGGGCTACCGTGTGTAGCCAGCAGCCAGCGTGAGCGGCCCTCAAGCCGCTGTGAGCGGCCGTCCAGAAGCTGGCAACTGATCTGCCTTGCCTGGGAAGAGCGCAATGATGGTGACAACTTGGGCCAGTGAAGCAACGTCCTCCACAACTAGACTGAAGAACAAAACGGCAGCAACTCGTCTGTTCCCTTCCCTCAGTTCCCCAGTGCTGTTCCCATCCTCCAATTCCCCAACAAAAGTCTTTAAAAAAAAAAAAAGAAATAGAATCCAGCATTACATTAAAAGAATCTAAAAACACAAATTTGGTTCAATGTTTGTTAAAAATAAGAGAAGTATCATATTATCAGTTCATCGATGCTAAAAAGACATCTGAGAAAATTCAACATCCATTCTTGATGAAAAGTACTTAGTAAAACAGGAGGCAACAGACATTCCTATACATATACATACATATGCGTATATGTATGAATCATATTTAATGCAGAAACACTAGAAGCATTCCTTCTAAAATAAGGAATAAAAAGAGGATGCCTACTAATCACTAATGTTTAATACTGTCTTGTCTAATTAGTCAATATAACCCTATAAAAAAAAATGAGAGGTATAAAAATCCAAAGGAAGAGGTAAACTTATCACTATCTGTATATGAGATGATTATAACCTAGAAACTCCAAGAAAATCACTTGGAAAACTACTATAAACAATAATGGAATTCAATAAAGCAGAGAGAAAAAAGTTACTATATAGAAATCAAAAGCTTTCATGTATATAAATAACCAGTTAGACTCTATAAACCCATTTAACCATTTAACAGCAAATATAAGGGAGAAAATATCCAGGAATAACAACAAGAAATGTGCAAACTTTATGTGAGGAAAACTTTAAAACACTCCTACAGGAAACAAAAGTAATCTTGAACAAATGGAATGGCATAGTATTTTCTTGGACAGAAAGACTCAATATCTTAAAGATGCCAATTTGTCATAACTTAATTTATAAATACAATGAGATCTCAATAAAAATAACAGCCCATCCTCCCACACCCACTGGATCGAGACAAGCTGTTTCTAAAGCTTATGTGGTAAAATAAATAGGAATGGTCTAGAAAACACTGAAAAGAAAAATGAGACTAGTCTGATTAGATATTAAAAGTCATAAAAGAAATTACTGACCAATACATACATGTGCACGCGTGTGCGCACACACGCACACGCACACACACACACACAAACACACCAACAAAGAGACAAATTTCTATGAGGCAAAAAACAAAAACAAGACCATACCAAAGGCTAAAAGACAAGTAAGAATTTGATATTATCTGTAATTCACATTAGACAAAGGGCTAATCTGCTTAGTTTAGAAAGCTCTCTCAGTAAATGAGAAGATCAAACCAACAGAAAACAAAGGGCAAAGGACATAAACAAACAGTTAACAAAACAGAAAGGTGGCCCTTAGAAATGTGAAAAGATGGCCATTGGAAAATAAATAGTGAAACCATGTCTTGCAAATCTGACTGATAAAAATCTATTTTGACACCTGTAGTGGCAATGGCATTTTAAGGAAACAGGTAGCCTCAGTCATTGATGCAAAACGTTTATAACCTCTGTGGAGGGCAATCTGGCAATAACATTCAAAATTACAAATACACTTGTCCTTGACACATCAATCTTTCTCCTGGGATCTATCTTAAAGAAACATCTACATATAGAGGGTGCCAAAAAAAATGTATACACATTTTAACACATTGTGGATGCAGATTTGTGTCTATATATTTAAATGCCCCATCCTCAATGGATTAAGAAAAGAAAAAAACTACTAAAATTGTAATACTCAATATATACTGATAACAAAAGATGAACACAAGTTATGTTTGACTTCTGCGATTACAAGAGGTGCTCAAAGTGGTTACCATCAGCGTAATTTTAATACAGTTTTTCCCTTTTTAAAAATGTGTATCTATTTTTTGGGCACCCCGTGTATATGAAATGATGTTGTGAAATGGCAAATAATTAAAAACAGCCCTAGCAACGGTGTAGAGGCTTGATCACTGCACTGTACACCTGAAGCTGATGTTGTATAACATTGTATGTCAACCATAGTTGAATATATATATAGTCACGGGATGTGGAGTACAGTGTGGGAGTAGAGTCAGTGGAATTGTAATAGATATGTATGATATGGGGCGGATAGTGGGGCGGTGGATTGGGGGTGGGGGGTTGTCACTTTGAGGGGTAAAAATTATAACTATTGCACTGTGTTGTACACCTGAAACTAATTAAATTAAAATAAAATAAAATGTTGTACCCATAAAAAAACAAACAAACAAAAAACCCAAACAGCCCTAGTATACATCTAAAGGGAACTTTTGAAATATATCCCCTCAATGACATATACCCACAACGGCAGATGCAGCTGAAAATAATGAGGAACCTATGTACTGATCTGGAAAGATCCAGGGATGATTGGCTGATTCCAGGTACAGGGTAAGAAACATATGATGAGCCTGGAACATCGTGCTGTGCCAGAAAGCAAGAAAGCTACCAAAGACTAATGAATTATCAGTAGGACTTTGTGATTTTCCACATAAGAATTTTATCTAATGCAAAAAGAATAACAGAATTACAAAAAAATATGAGTTAATAATCCCTCATGAAATAAATGGTTCAGGTAACAATGATCAATGAATGGAATATTAGTAATTGAAAGGTTGATTGGGAAATTTACAATGGAGAGATCAGGCCTATTGATCTCTGAACCTACAGATGAATCTTAGTATCATTAAAAATGGGACCACTAGATACTGTGTGCCTCCTAATATGATACAATATAAAGAAGCACTTATGAAATATTTTGAACCTGAATTGAATCATTCAGGAAATATAGGGGATAGAGGAACAAGGTAATGACACCACAAGAAAACAAAAGACAAATCCAGGTTTTTGGATATTCTACAGGACAAGTGACAGAGTTTCTGCAACAAATCAATAGCATAAAAAAAGGAAAAAACAAACAAAACGAGGGAAGGAAATGGGACTACTATATTTAAAAAAGGCACAACAGCCAAATGTGATGTGTGCATCTTGTTTGGATCCTGATTAGAACCAACTAACTATAAAAAGACATATTTGAAACAATCAGAGAAATGTGATTACACAGGGTATTATAGGCTACAAATAAATTATTATTTTAAATTTTCTTATTTATGATAACAGCATTGTGACTGTGTAAGAAAACATCTATATTTTTAGAGGTACAACTGAAGTAGCAGGGATAAAATAACATGTTTTCTGGGATTTGATTTAAAAATACGGTAGAGGGATAAATGTAGATAGTTTAAGCAAAGGTAGAAAAATCTGGACAATTTGGATAATGACTATAGAGGTGGTGGTTTATCATACTATTCTACTTTTATATAAGCTCAAAAATATTCATAAGAAAATGCCTAAAAATGAGAATGCAATTAGCACCACATTAAACATCAGCAACAGGCATAACACCAGGGGTCACCATGACCAACAGATTTCCCTTCCTGTAAAACAGGTATTTCATAATGCAATACTGACTTAAGAGTAAAAAGGACAAAAGTGAGTTACAATAGAAGACTGCTCAGATTATCAAGTCAAAGCTTTTATATTTGCTTTCATGTGCTTATTTCATGTTTAGAAGAAAACCAGGACAAGTTCTGTATAAATGCTCTCTAAATGAAATGTAATATAAAGGTTTTTCCAATTTGTCTAAATATGTGTCCAAATATTACTTTAAGACACCAGTATATATAACTGCACATAAAATTCTCTCTCTCTCACACACACACACATTATTTAGAAAACAATTATCCAATACAGAATATGGTTTTAGCTCCCTTACCATCAATATTAAGCATCATTTTCCACATGGCAGGCCGAACAGATTGATGGAATCCAAACCATACTTCCCTGCCCCCTCCCAGAGGGTGGTCATATCCTTCTGGAGCTGAGAAAAAGGAACGCCCCACAGGCGTATATCTACAAAAATTAAAATGGCATGTTCAATCCTTTCCTTCCTATATAAGTATTTACATGTGCAGAACAGGTGAGTCTACAGCACATAACTTATCATAATGATACTTATCATTATAAATATATGAAACTAAGTATTTTCCAGATTTGTGAAAGCGAAAAGCAGCCATTTTAAATTTTAAAAAAAGTCAGCATTCTTCACTGAAATTCTCTATTGTTAAAACTAATGTTAGTTTGAATAAGAATAAATTTTATTTAAAATACTTTCTTAAAAAGATTTTAAAAAGTTAACAGTTTCAACCTTACAAAATGCTAGAGTGAATAATTATTGATCAAAAAGCTATTTCTATAAATGTGCTTGTAAGACATAATATTTTTCTTTAAAAGACCCATCTAATCTAATCCTATACACACACATATATACATATATATTTAAACACTGATACACACATACATATAGAGGTGCCAGTGTGATTAAAACAGCAGCAATTTCTACACAATTTGATGCTAATGTATACACAATGAAATTACTTTTAAAACAGTGATTTAACTATAGGAATATATCTGAAAATATATCAGTTACTGAAGATGAATAGCTCCTAAGAGAAAGGTTTAGACATTTTTCTAAAAAATATCCATTAGGGTAGCTAAACTAATGAGGTTCATCTACTTTCATAAGTCAGAGAATTTTCTGTAACTTAACTTCTCTTAATGAACTTGTATGCATAATATTCTTCAACTGAAATAATCAAAATATACAACATGTGATGAAGGTTAACCAAAAGAGGCCTGCACTCTCTGGAGGAAAGCCTTCACTCTCAAAATCTAAAGAGGAAAAAAGCCAGAAGCACCCACTTCATGGAGGGCAGATGTCGTAGCACCACATCAACAGCATGGACAGGATTAGTGCTGATTGGCTTGTCTAATTCCAGTGGCTCAGGCAAGGTTCGTCCTGTCAGTACTTCATGTAGTAGGTGCCAACTCACCCGAGAGACAAATTTGATTGACACCTTGAAAGGTCGATCTTTTCCACCTTCCCCAGGTAAAGTAACATCTAAATCTACCTGTTGATAGGAAAAGAGTCATCTGATAAAAGTTGAAAAAGATAAATACAGTTATTTTTAAATTCAACATAAAAATATTTAAGAGAAAACAAGGCAAATAAAAAAAACAAAAACCAATCTCCGGCCGCCCGAGTGGCTCAGTTGGTTAAGAGCTTGTTCAAGAGTGCGAGCTCTGAGCAACAGGATTGTTGGTTTGATTCCAGGCTTGAGCTGAGCTGCCGTTGAGCTGCCAACAGGTGGCAGGATGGCTCAGCTAAAAAAAAGCCAAAAAAAAAAAAACCCCACCCCAATCTCAATGTCAAGTCAACAGGCTAAAATTTAAATAACAGTTATTTATGCCAGCATTATTTGTCATTGCAAAATACTGAAAACTGCCTAAATGCTCAAACATTTAGGTAGCTATAAAAAAAGAACGAGGAAGATCTCTTGGAATGGCTATGAAATAATTCCCAAACTCTACTTTTAAGTGGAACAAGTGACGTATAAATTACAAATAGTATGCCATCTTTTGTGTCAGAGAAAAGGGGGAAATGGGAAAATGTTCATATATCTGCATATTTATGCTAAAAGAAACACAGGAAGCATGAACAAAAACAAAGAAACTGGTTACTTTCAAAGGATGGGAAGAAACAAATTGGAAGAAATAAAGGAGGGGTTAACAATTCTGAGTGTATTTTTCAGTATAGTTTTGACTCTTGGAAGCATGTTAAATAAAATTCTATATATTAAAAAATTAAAAATAAAATCAATAAGGCTGGAGGGAAAAACCTAAAACTGAATATAAACAAAATCATATGAAACCAAATGCATTTCAAATGAACAACAAAACCACACTGAAAGAAGAAAAAAAAGAAAAAGAAAACACTAATGCAAGTGCTCTTGAATACAGTATACTGACTATACTATCACTGGGGGTGTGGAGGAGGGGTGAGTGGGAAAGAACTGCATACAAAACAAACCCTTAGACATGTTAGTAGATTTGGTTTTTGTAGTGGTATGGTGTAGCAATTCAGAAACTATTTTATGTTTTGTAAGATGGAACAAATGAGTAAAAGTGGTGATGGTGTTTTGGTAAGCCAGGGGTTTAAAGAAGAAAGATACAAATATGCAATGTGGGTAGTAAAGAAGGAATCTCATGGGGATAGATTGAAACTGGAAGAATCAGTGTATGAACTCATGATTTCTAATATACATACTGTATATTGTACACAATAAGTGGTACTTGTAGGATACATATGTTATGTTTACTATATGACATGTAATATTTATTTTTCATTGTCTATTTTGTTCATTTACTTATTTATATATTTCTATTTCCTACCTCTGTCCACTGAAAGGGCTTAGAAGCACATATACACCAGTAGCAAAGAGCACAACCAGTACTCAGATTTTGGTTTCTAAATTGCATTCCCCAGCTAAAAGAAGCCAGTGCTCCTTTGAGAAATGGCCAGTTGCAGGACTGCTGCAGAGTAAAAATAAGATGAGCCTGGAACACCTTGTGCCTCAAAGTAAGGGAATACTCAAAGAAAAAAAAAAAGATGTGTATCATGTCAAAAGACACAGAAAACAGCTTAAATGGCCTCCCACTGGCCAAATATGGGACAATTTGGGCAGTCAAGTAAACAAGGATAAATAGGAAAGAAGAAGAAAATGTTCTCCCTTACTGTAGAATGCCAACTAATAAATGTAGGAATGACAGAATTAGAAAATCACTATTACTATAATAGTACTAATCCTTCCAAACAAGAACCATCAATTATTAAAAAATCTAATGAGAAACAGGATCCTTAAAAGTATCACCCTTATCAAAATTAAAAAACTTCTGTCTATCAAAGGACTAAATCAACAAAGTGAAAAGACAACCTATGGAACCTGAGAAAATATTTGCATATCATGTATCTGATAAAAATATATAAAGAATTCCTAAAACTCAGGAACAACAACAAAAAACCAAACAACACAATTGAAAAAATAGGCAAAGGACTTGAATACACATTTCTCCAAAGAAGATATACAAATAACCCATAGTCACATGAAAAGATGCTCAACACCACTAATAATTAGGGAAATGCAAATCAAAACCACAATGAGATATCACCTCATACCCATTAGGGTGACTACTACCAAAAAAATAGAAAATAACAAGTGTTGGCAAGGGGGTGGTAAATTTGGAATCCTTGTGCACTGGGTGTGAATGTAAAATAATGCAGTTGCTGTAGAAAACAGTATGGTGGTTTCTCAAGACATTAAAAATAGAACTACCATTTATATGATCTAGCAACTCCACTTCTAGGTACATACACAATACAACTGAAAGCAGGGACTAGGACAGATATGTTTATAGCAGCAATATTTGCAGTAGTCAAAAGGTCCCATCAACAGGTAAATGAATAAACAACAAAATGTACACACACACACACACACACAAACGAAACATTATTCAGCCTTAAAAAGAAGGAAAATATCTCCACATGTGACAACATAGATGACCTTTAAAGACATTATGCTAAGTGAAATAAGCCAGACACAAAAGAACAAATACTGTATAATTCCACTTTTATGAAGTACTGAGAATAGTCAAATTCATAGAGACAGAAAGTAGAATGGTGGTTGCCAGAGGCTGAGGGGAGAGGAGAATGGGGAGTTAGTGTTTAATGGGGACAGAGTTTGAGTTTTGTAAGTTGAAAAGAGTTATGGGGATGAATGGTTGTGAAGTTATGAATGTACTTAATGCAACTGAACTGTACCTTAAAAATGGTTCAGATGGTAAATTTTATGTTACATGTGTTGTACCACAATTTTTTAAAAAAGTATTTCCCAACAAAAGCAAAGAGGGAAAAAAAACAAACCAAACAACTGGATAGGAGCAACCTGGCAGATACCAACTTAACCAAGTGATCAAAGTTAACATCACCATTAAAGGAACAAACACATATTATGTGCCTCCTGATATGATGCACTGATAAGGAAAGAACACTTATGCAGTATTTCTGCCAAAAATGCCTAATCAGGATTTATTCAAGAGAAAGCACTAGACAAACTCGGTCTGAGGGACATTCTAAAAATAACTTGCCTGCAATCTTCAACCATGTTAATGCCATGAAAGAAAGAAATTAAGGCTGGGGAATTGATCCAGAATAAAGAGGACTAGAAAGACAAGATATCTAAATATAAACATGAACCTGGACTAGATTCTGTACTAAAGGGAAAAAAATGCTGAAGGACATCATTGGAATGACAAAATTGGAATATAGGTTGTTGATTAGACAAAGGTATCATGTCAACGTGAAATTTAGTGCAGTTGATAACTGTATTATGGTTTTTATGTTTGTTCTTAGGGAATACACATTAAAGGGCATAATGTATGCAACCTACTCCTGAATGATTCAGGAAAAAATAAGTATGTGTGTATACTTATAGCTGTATCTCTAGATATAAAGAGACAGCAAAAGAGAGAAAAGACAAGAATAAAACAAATGTGGCAAATGTTAAGAACACTGGTGAGTCTGGGTAAAGGGTACACATGATTTCTCCACATGAATCTTACAACTTTTCTGTAAGTTTGAAACTATTTCAAAATAAAAAGTAAAACAGATAAATGATACACACTTACATATATAGGGACTGTAATAAAATAAAGTAATAAATGCGTTTAAAAGGAGACATTGCAATAGTGTAGCTTTCCAATAAAGGAGCACATATCTTACCCCAGTAGTTGCCACAGGAAGTGGATTGGCTGTGTAAAGGCTTCTTTTTCCATCATAAACTGGTCTACAGTCCCCAAATATATTTACTTTAAAATGCTGAACCATTGAGTCAACCACCTCCCTAAAAAAGGCAAAACATACATTCACATATTTCTCTGCATGATGAAATTTAAAAAATTTTAACTAATTTCTTACACTATTTAAAGCTGTCAAAATTCTAAAAGACATGATAAAGATTTGCTTTCAGGACCATGGCTTAGGATACCAGAAAGGGATGATAGGAATTTCACGAAAGAGAAGAATGAATTCACTTAATTAATCATTTTGGGCCTCACTATCTCTAAGATGTTTCACTGCCTGACATATTCACCTCTTTATCAACGAGTTTGATGCTCTTTCCCCTGTGCTCAAATAGCACCCAGGGCACATATCTATTAAAACACTTATATTACACTGTATTATAATTATTATATACTTCACTTCTATTAGACTGTGAGATTCTTTTTTTAAAAAAGACTTTATTGGGGAATTGGGGAAAAGGAACAGTGTTGGGGAATTGGGGAAGGAGAACAGCCACGTTGTTGTCCTTCACTCTTAGTTGTGGAAGGAGCAGCTAGCTCAGCTCCAAGTCCAGTCGTTATCCAGCCTCCAGTGGGCAGCTCAAGGTGCTGTGTTCAATCTTAGTTGTGGGTGGGCATAGCCCACCATCCCATGCAGGAGTTGAACCGGCAACCCTGTTGTTAGGAGCATGTGCTCTCACCAGCTGAGCCATCCTGCCACCTGTTGGCAGCTCAGCAGCAGCTCAGCTTGGGTGCAGCTCACTGGCCCATGTGGGAATCGAACTGGCAACCCTGTTGTCCAGAGCTCATGCTCTTAACCAACTGAGCCACTCAGCCAGCCCCCAAACTGTGAGATTCTTGAGAGCAATAAACACACCTGTACCTTGTACCATCCCCACCCTTTCACCCTCTGTCCCCAACCTTGCAACCGTATCTAGCCAGTAAGGATATTCTGAAACCTCCATTTTTACCTAGCAAACATTTTTATCCTATATACTTACATGGAAAGATATTCAAGATATATATATATATATATATATATATGTATATAGATAGATATATTTAAAGCACACACTATAGAGAGAATAGTACCAAATATTCACAAATCTATATTTATTTTTGTACACACATTATTTGTAAAAGAGTAGACAGATATCTAGAAGAACAGGTATCAAATAGATACAGTGGCTACCTTTGGAAAGAAAACTGGAGAATGATTTTTTATCTTGTTTATACAATCTAAATATATTATGATGGGAGTATACTCACATAGTACTGGTATAATTATAATACATTTAAAAGAATGAAAAAAGGATTCAATTCTAGCCTAGTCAAGTGGGTAGGTGGGAAGGAAAGGTGAGAAAAAAGTATTTTCTAGAACAAAATAGTTTCATTTTTCCCTCTTTTCAATTTTACTTTGCTAAAACTATTTAAATCAAGATCAAGCCTTTTCCAGAGTAAAATTTACAAAAAGATTTGACTCACCAATCAGTTTTTAGGTACAAAACAAATTTCAAAGATTTTTCTGTCATTTTATTTATTTATTTATTTTGGTGGCCATTATCATCAATTCCAGTTTCACAGGTGAAATTTTACAGATCTAATTTGTCAGGATGTTCTGACTATTTTGTCATTTTTTACTTAACAGTAAATTGGTGTGGTTTAAAGCTAACCAAATCCTGGTAAAGCATTCTATGGGTTAAAATGGTGGAGGAGATTAAAATAGTAGGGCCAGAACATCTTAGGAATAAGAAATGTTCTGCTTTGATGTCTACCACACAGTAGATTCATATCAATGTTTTAACAGTGGCTAGTCTACTTCAGTGAACTGCTACAACCTACAATGGAATGCACCTAAACCTGAATTCAACATTATTTCCCCCATGTCAAATCTGGTTTATCCTCCTGTTTACCACTCCTTTTTAATTATTGGTCCCTCCATCTTCCCATTTATCCAGATTCAAAACCTGGCTCATCTCTTCATCCAATTAGTTGTTGACTCCACCTCTCTGCAGTATTTCTTACATCAGTCCTTTACTTTCCAATTCCCAATTAACACCATCCTAAATGAAAACCTCATGTCCTAGTATCTGAATTATTATTTTTTAAAGTTTCTTGTTTCTTATGCCTTTAATTTTTTTTCTCCAACCCAACTTACGTACTACTAAATGAGTCCCCAAACCCTACTTTTATTCCCTAGGTACAAAAAGTTAAGTTAATCATACACATCAGTTCATAGCACATTATCATTAGTCATCTGTATAAGACCCCTCTTTTTTTTTTTTTTTAAAGATTTTTATTGGGGAATTGGGGGGATGAGAACAGTGCTGGGGAATTGGGGGAAGGGGAACAGACAAGTTGCTA